AAAAAGAAAGGAAAAAGGAATGAGGTAGTTGGAGGCTTGATATATGGGGCCTTGTGGGCCCCTGTAAGGACGTTGGCTTTTACTTTGAGGAAAATGGGGAGTCATTTTGTGATCTGAGCAGAGGATTGATGTAATCTTTCTTTTTAGAGAAAGTTGCTGTGTTAAGAATAGACGTAACAGGAAGACCAATTAGGAGGCTGTTACTAGGCGTCTAGGTGAAATGCGATAGCTTGAATCAGGGTAGTAGTAATGGAAGTGGTAAGAAATAGTTATATTCTTGATATATTTTGGAGATGGAGTCAATTAAAATCAAGGAAAACTAAAATTTTTGGCCTGAGAACTGAAAGAATGGAGTTACCATAAATGAATAATTACCATGAGGAAGGCTAAGGGTGGATTAAATTGAAGCAGGGTATACCTGGGAAGAAAGCAGCTTACAAGAGTCAGTTAATAATGATCTCACTTTTGTAAAACAAAAATTGTGGCCTGAACACATTTTAAAAAATCTGTAAATTGAGGTTGCTCACCTTTGAGAAACCACTTAGCTCTGCTAATCTCAGAAATGCTTTTCATTTACTTACTTGGGTAGGTTTATCTCTGCCCACTAGTAAGTGGTTATGCCAAAGTCTAAATATTATGGGTCTAAACTTGAAACGATCTCTTGATAGGTATAACTTTTAACATTTATTTTTCTTTTTTAAATTTATTAAGGTGGAGTCTCACTCTGTCGCCCAGGCTGGAGTGCAGTGGTGAGATCTAGGCTCACTGCAACCTCCACCTCCAGAGTTCAAGTGATTCTCCTGCCTCAGCTTCCCATGTAGCTGGGATTACAGGCATGCACCACCACACCCGGCTAAGTAGAGATCGGGTTTCACCATATTGGCCAGGCTGGTCTCGAACTCCTGACCTCAGGTGATGTACCCACATCGGCCTCCCAAAGTGCTGGGATTGCAGGCATGAGCCACTGCGCCCAGCCCGGAACTTTTATTTTTCTAAAATCACATGTATAAAAGCCCAAGTAGACACTGCGTGTTTCTACCCATGACCACTTATTATTGTACTTTTTGCATCATAATTTAGATGGCTTCTTTTAGGAAATACTTTGTATCATCTAAATAGACCAATGTAGTTTGTTTTCATTGCTCTTTATTATGTGAACTGTGTATGCAGTCACACTTTTCATTTAGTGGAAAATTCCATTTTCAAATTTGACAGAAAGTAGTATTGGTGGGATTATGTTTTATTTGAAGTTTCTGTTTTCCAGGGAAGAGGAATTTGCAATCAGCAGATCCTGGCCTGGTATAAGAATTTTTGAAATGTTTTACAGGTGATGATGAACAGTCTACACAGATGGCTGCAAGTTGGGAAGATGATAAAGTTAAAGAAGCATCTTCAGACAGTTTTGTTGCTATTAAAATTGATACCAAAAGGTTTGTTTATGTTTTAATATTTTATTAGTTTTAAAATTTATAAGTATTGTCTTTGTGATTTATAGTGATACTTTTGGACTGTAAGAATGTTGATGTTGGGCTGGCTACTCCCAGCAGTTTGGTAGACCGAGGTGGGAAGATCACGTGAGCGCAGGAGTTAGAGACTAGCCTGGGCAACATAGTGAGACCCTGTCTCTACAGAAATAATAATAAAATCAGGCAGGAGTGTGGTGTGTGCGTGTGGTCCCAGCTACTTGGTAGGCTGAGGTGAGGCGATCACTTGAGCCCTGGAGATTGGGGCTACAGTGAGCTGTGATCATGCTACTGAAGTCCAGCCTGGGTGACAGAGTGAAGCTGTCTCAACAACAACAAAAAAAGAATGTTGGTCAGGCACAGTATTTCATGCCTATAATCCTAGAAATTTGGGAGGCTAAGACAGGTGGATCCCTTGAGGTCAGGAGTTTGAGACCATCCTGGGCAACAAAGTGAAATCCTGTTTCTACTAAAACAAACAAACAAACAAAAAAATTACTCTGGTGTGGTAGCACGTGCTTGTAATCCCAGTGGGAGGCTGAGGTAGAGGATCACTTGAGCCCAGGAGGTTGAAGTTGAGGCTGCAATAAGCAGTGACTGCTGCACTGCACTACATACAGCCTGGGTGACAGAGCAAGACTCTATCTCAAAAAAAAAAAAAAAAGTTTATGTTATGTGTTTGGATATCTAAGACATATTATGATCTTAAATTCTGACTACCATTTGCTACATTCATCATGAATCTTGCTGAAAAAAGTTCAAGCTTTCCTACTGTACCAAGCAGCTATCTAACATGTACCAGGAATGCAGAAAGAATAGTGATTTCCACCTTCTAAAAACTTGGGAGTAGCAGTAAATCATACATTGAATATCTCTGAGAGGTTGATTACTCACTGTCTTGAATCCTATTTTTGAGAACGGAGTCATTTAATCATTAGAAATAAAGACATTTATAGGATCCTCACAGTACCTGATGTCCACAAGTCTGTTTTGTTTCTCCATTCCTCCTCCCCATCTTTAAAAAATAGTTTTATTATAAGAAGTTTCAAACATATATGAAAATAAGAGTGGAACATACCCCATGTACTTGTCAACTAGCTTTGTTCAGTTTTCATCTATACCCCTGCCCATTTCCACTCAATCCAAATAATTTTGAAACAAATCACAGTCACCATATCACTTCATATATAAATATTTTAGTATGTCTCTGAAATAAAAGTATTGTTAATTTTTCAAACAAACATAACTATAATGTTAATACTTCACAAACTAATAATAATTCTTTAATAGCAAATAACCAGCTGGTGTTCAACTTTCCAGTTGTCTCATCAAAGTCATAGTTTTATTACTTTATTACAGCTTTTTGGTTCAGAATTTTTCAAAGTCCACACATTGGGATGCATTGATTTTTCTCAGTATGTAGGCTTCTCCTCCAACTCTCCTGCTCTTTGCAATTTATGTTTTAAAGACACCAGGTTATTTGTTCCATACGTTTGTTCTGTGGTTTCCTTTTTTTTTTTTTTTTTTTTAAAGACAGGGATTTCACCATGTTGGTCAGGCTGGTCTTGAACTCCCGACCTCAGGTAATCCACCTGCCTTGGCCTCCAAAGTGCTTGGATTACAGGTGTGAGCCACCACGCCCAGCCTGTTCTGTGGTTTCCTACAGTTTGGATTTTGTTGACTGCAACATGTCAGTGTCAAGTTGGTTCTTTCCTGTTTTCTATAAATTGATAGGTAGATTCAGATTTGTTTTCCCTCCCCCATCTTGTCCCAAGACTACTTCATAGATTGTGATGTGTCTTCCATCAGAAGACAGATAATGCCCTGTCTTTTCTCCTTAGCAGCCATCAGTGATCAGTACCTAAAAACATTATTACTTATTTTTTTCTTTGAAGCAGGATTTCACTATGTTGCCCAGGCTGGTCTTGAAATATTGGACTCAAGAGATCATCCCATCTCAGCCTCCTGAATAGCTGTGGTTACAGGCATGCCTCACTGTGCCTGGTGCTGAAAACATGAATTCATTAGCACTTACAAAGTGGTGTTCCTGTCCTTTTGATATTGATAATATTAGAATGAATAATAGGTTTAAAAAATCACTGTCAAGATTAAAACATTCAGAAATTTGCCTATAAGTTTGTAAACTTTATGTAAAAATTTTCTGTATTAACAAAAACGCCAAATTGTAGTATAACCTGTCTCAGAACAGTTACTAAACTATATATTTACTGAGTAGTTTTTAAAAAGCAGAATCTGGATAGGCGCTGTGGCTCACGCCTGTAATCCCAGCACGTTGGGAGGCCAAGGTGGGCAGATCACGAGGTCAGGAGTTCAAGACCATCCTGGCTAACACGGTGAAACACTGTCTCAAAAAAAAAAAAAAAAAAACAGAATCTGTCAATTTATCATTTTATTTTTATTGTCCATCACCTTCCTGAAGCACCTTCTAGAGTTGGCAATGGCAAGAAGAATATAGGGTTTTACAGGGAATGTGGAAGACATGAGAATTTCAAAATTCTTGAGATTATATACAGACTAATGTGTCTGGCTTTTTTTTTTTTTTTTCTGGGCAGTGCTGAAGAAACTGTCTGGCATTTTTAAAAACAAATTTCTGGCCGGGCGCGGTGGCTCACGCCTGTAATCCCAGCACTTTGGGAGGCCGAGGCAGGTGGATCAC